CAGCTGCTGCAGCCGGAAGGAGCCCGGCGCATCCTCAGGGACACGGGCGGCCTCTCTGCGCTCCACAACGTCTCCTACCACCTCCTCGCTGGCTCCCCGTCACCCCACAAAAGTGAGTGTCCCCGGGACCCTGACTGAGCAGGGCTCTGGGGTTGCACATCCCAGCATGGACCTGCCCCATCACTGCTGCCGCTGGGCAGGGAGGGCCCTGCTCCAGCCTCTTTTTGGGGGGGGGGAAACCTGCCCATACCTGGTGACCTCCCCCCAGCCAACCTTTGCTTCTGGAGATGGAGGGGTAGAGGAAGGTCCATGTGCTCCAAGCATGGCCCATGCTTCTGCACATTGGGTCTGGGGTGACTGCAGGTGTTTGGGCTTCCCAGGTCTCTGTTGGGAGGGTGGTTGAGATCCGCTCTCCCTGGGGTTGAGCTTCCTGTGCTCCAGTCAGGAAGGTGGAGGTGGTGGGGCTGAACCACTGGGACAACCACACAGTGTGGGAGATGTGGATCAAGCTCTTGGTCTGGTGCATGAGAAGTGCTTCACATGGGAACACCTTAGGAAGGAGCTTGGGGCAGCCCCACCTGAGCCTGGGCTCAAACCAGAGGCTCAGTGTGGGCCTGGTGCTGCACAGGGAAGCTGCAGGGAAGCTGTGGGGAGGGCAGGGGAGCATCTCATCCTGGTGAGGCCGTATCTCCATGAGGTTTGGAGTCGGGTAAGGGTGTGCAGCCGTTCCACGAAGCCATCCCTCCCCACACACTGTCTCTGCTCTGCTCCTCCCCACATTTGGCTTTTGTAAAGGTGTTTTCCCCCAAATATTTCATCTTCAGAGGAGCCCTGGTTTCTCATCCTGTGCCCTCCCTGCCATTTGGGCACCTCCCAAGATGCTGGAGGCTTAAGCTCCAGATGGGACCATTAGTCGCATGGACATTGCAGGTTGGCCACGCGGAGGGCTTTTGGGAGTCCCCTCCACGTGGCACATCCCAGGTCACCCCCAGCCTGCTAAAGCCCTTCCTTTGCCTTGCAGAATTCCTGGCGGTGGGATTGGCATCGGTGCAGCGGCCGCGTGGTTACTACCTCCCAGCCACGCTCCAGTCCCTCTTCAAGCAGTCAACAGAGGAGGAGCTGCAGGAGCTGGTGGTGGTGGTGCACTTGGCCGATGCAGACCCCAGATGGAACGTGCGTGTGGCTGCCGACATCGCCAACAAGTTTGCTGAGCACATCCTCCTGGGCCGGCTCCTGCTGATCCACGCTCCCCACGAGTTCTACCCCACCCTGGAGGGTCTCAAGAGGAACTTCAATGACCCGGAGGAGCGGGTGAGGTTCAGGTCCAAGCAGAACGTGGACTACGCTTTCCTCCTCGCCTTCGCTGCCAACCTCTCCTCCTACTACCTGATGATCGAGGATGACGTGTGGTGTGCCAAGTCCTTCTTGACGGCCATCCGCAAGGCACTGGCTTCCCAGGAGGGCTCCAACTGGGCCACGCTGGAGTTCTCCAAGCTGGGCTATATCGGGAAGCTCTACCGCTCCAGTGACCTTCCTCGTCTGGCTCGCTTCCTCCTCCTCTTCTACCAGGAGATGCCCTGCGACTGGCTGCTGGTGCACTTCCGCCTCCTGCTCGCTCAGAAGGACGTCATCCGCTTCAAGCCCTCCCTCTTCCAACACATGGGTCTCTACTCCTCCTTCCAGGGCACCATCAACCGGCTGGAGGACGACGAGTTCCAGGCTGATGCCATGGACCTTCCGGACAACCCTCCGGCGGCCTTTTTCACCAGCATGTCTGTCTTTGAGAACTACGAGCCCCTCAGGGCCTACAGCACAGCAGAGGGG